GTGTTAATATTTATCCAAAAACGCATCTCCTCCAGGCTGCAGAGTAATGGGGACTGTTTAAGAAAGTAACCCACTCTGCTTATATGCTTTTTTTTATCTATTAAAGACAGCACCCTACTGAGACATATGTTAAAAGAAGAAGAGCACACTGTTTAATATATGTGCTTCCTTAAAACACAAGGGTTTCATTGTTAGAAGTGCTGGGGAAGCAGAGATGACTCTGTGCTTCAGAAGATTTAAGACACAAGGTTTCAGCTGGAACAGGGGCCCTGGTCCTGGTGGGTGGTGAGAGAGAGAGTATGACCTTATCATGAAAGGACTACATTGCCACCTACTGGTAGTCAAATGGTACTACAAGTGACTAAAAATTCAAGTAAATTCAGATTGTTACAGCATGTTCTCAAAGGGGATTATCAGTTACTTGAGACTCAAAGCAAAACTAATCACAGCAGGTTCAGCACTGATGAAGTAAATGTAATAACAAATGTAATCCTGCTGCAAAAAATCTAATATTAACTTCACCATAATTAGCACTTAGTGTTTCTTCTTCACTCACCTCTTTTCACTCTATATGTGTTTATACACAAATCTGCATTTAATTAATGGTTATCATTTATCTCTGGCTCACTTCTCCAGAGTGTCATTTGTCCTATCTTCTTCCCCCAGCCGGTCGCAGCAGATGGCTGCCCCTTCCTGAGCCTGGTTTTGCCAAGGTTTCTTCCAGTTAAAAGGGTTCTTTTTCCCCCTCCCTACTGCCACCAAGCCCTTACTCATAGGGGGTTACTTAATTGTTGGGGTTTTCTCTCTGTTACTGTAGGGCAGGGATGTCCAACTCCAGTCCTCGGGCTACTGTCCTGCCGCTTTTAGATGCATCCCTACTCCAACACAGCTGGATCAAATGGTTGGATTACCTCTTCAGCATACCATCAAGTTTTCAGGCCTGATAATAAGCTATTTATTTGATTCAGGGAGAAGGATGTGTTTAAAAGCTGCAGGGCCGTAGCTCTCGAGGACTGGAGTTGGATACCCCTGCTGTAGGGTCTCAACTTTACAAAATAAACTGCCTTGAGCATCAGTTATTCAAATAATATTTGTTTATTATACTGTGATTTACACTGTGGACAGAGCAAAAGTGAGAAAAAAAATCTTTTTGACACAAAAAAACGTTTTATTTTTTTAAAGAAACGCAGCAATATCACTTAAGTGTTCATGGTTAGGTTGGAGAGAATGTTTGGGATCAATAACTCATAAGAAATGTTGAAATCACATTATCAACGGGACTGGTTGGGAGGTGTTTGTAGAAGCTGTCTACAAAGATAAATCATGAAAAACAAAATACATGTTTCAATGCTCACAATCGCTGAACACTCACATGGCGATAATCCATTTAAACAGAAATCAGCTTTTAGTATATGTGAACTTTCTTGCAGTTTAAGATAGAAACGTGAGGTGAAGTCTGTCTTTGATTGAAAAAAAAAAGACACACTTTTCCTATTTTTTCCCTCTTACGAGTTTTTTCTCATAAATCTGTCACGGTTAACTTGTAAATGTGCCGCGTTTTCTCATAAATTTGACAATTTTTTAGGCACTGTACGTCTCATTTTATCTCGTCACACTCCAGGTCGATAGGTGGCGGTAAAGTTGAGTGTTTTTTCTTTCATTCTGAGGGCAAGTCAAATCCAATATGGCGGTTAACAGACTAACATGTTTGGGGTTAAATGCCCTTTATTCCACCGTCTGCGTCCCAAAGCAGGTAAAGCATTTACGGTAATCTTGCATGTATTAGTTTTCATTCAGTCTCAATCTATTATCTCCGACTTTCGGTCGATAAATGTAACATTGGCTGTTTTACTGATGTAGCTAGCGTTCTGACGTTAGCATTGCGGCTAATGCTAGTTAGCCTGCTATGTGTCAAACCTGGCTCAGTATGGTTCTTTGAAGGGTTTAACAGGACATGGTATATAAATTATAAGAGGACAGGTAGTATATGCTCAGTTCCCGTGCTTGTTCTAGCAAGAAAGGTTGAGTGATTAACTTTTAACTTTTTACGCTAAGGCTTCTAATGATCTTGAAAGCAAGATATTTAAGCTGAATAAAACGATGACTTTGTTAGCATTAATTGTGGCCCGTTATCCCTCAAGAGCATTCGATTTCTTTTACAGCTGAGCGCTCTTTTAAAAGTATCCCTGTTTACTTTTACTTGAACCTGCAAAGTGAGCCTTTTGTTAACACGATCTGTGTGGAATATGCAAGCGTCATAGGAAGGCAAATTTTCAATGGATCATCAGAAGTTGCATGTAGTAGTTTTATGTCCGAATCACCAGGGTCTCTCACCCTCTGTTATTTCGGAAGCGTACGAAGGAGGTTTCATTTATTTTTTGGCTCACATCTGTGTGTGTCTGTTGTCTTGGGCTCCTGATGCTCTAATTCGGGCAAACTTGATTTCTATCATAGAACTGAAACTGCTAACATCAGGTCAGATGCTGTATTTTTCAAGTGAAAGCTTGTCCAAATGGCACACGGCAGTGCGGATGAGCCGAAATAATCAGCTTTTGGTTTAGACTCCTCTGGCTTGTCTGAAAATTGTTAGGGCCTAAAGGTGGTTCAAACAGTTAGAGCTACAGTGTGTGTAATTGAGTACAGAGGCAGACTAAATACTTGTTCACTAACTGAAGGAGCACTGTTTGCAGGCATTTAGGAGCTGCTGGGGGGCGGTGGAGCAGGTGAGAAGTTACTATGTTGACTGGAGGATGCTGAGGGATGTCAAGAGGAGGCAGATGGCCTTTGACTATGCTGATGAGAGGTTACGAATTAACGCACTGAGGAAGAACACCATCCTACCCAAAGAGCTTCAGGTATATACTGAAGAAGGACACCTAAGTCATATGTGTATTAATAAATAACTCAGCAATGGTAATGATTGAACTGTTACAAACAAATCCTTGAAAAGACATTAGTACAGAGTGAAGTACTAATGTCTATTTACTCATTTATTCGTTTTTTTGCAGGAGATAGCAGACAAAGAGATTTCAGCACTACCCAGAGACAGCTGCCCTGTGAGGATACGTAACAGGTGTGTGATGACTTCCCGACCACGAGGAGTGAAGCGGAGGTGGCGTCTTAGCCGTATTGTCTTTCGTCATCTAGCTGACCACAATCAGATGTCTGGGATTCTGAGAGCAAGGTGGTGATGAGGTCTCACTGGACATTTTGAAAAACAAGATTTTTCAGTGGTTATCAATAGACTGCTACATTTGATTACTTGTGTAAATTATGTTTTCATTGGTCAGTAAGGTGCTGCTGCTTCCTTATTAGCCTTCTTAATATAAAAAATGAGAAAGTTGATATGAGTACTGATAAATAAATGAATATTGTTGTACATTACAGTTTTGTGAGTGTCTTGGTTTATTATAAAATGTTATGTGTGATATAAAAGTTTTATAAAAGCTTAACACCTTCTACTGTCACAGGAAAAGAAGTTATTTTTTTAAGGTAATGGCTGCCCTAAAATGAGATGTAATTCATAGGCAAGAAAGCCCACATTTTCCTTTCACTTACTTTCTTTTCATTTATCTGTATATAATATATAACTGGTCTTTTATATAGTTGAAAAGTATCTAAGATGTAACAAATACCAAACGTGTGGAACTTTTGCTTCAAAGCAGGATGGATCCTTGCTTTCATTTGGTTAGCACCACATTCTGGTCTTACCATAAAATGTTCCAACAGAAATTAGATTAATCAGACCAGGCAACAATCTTCCTTCCAATCTTCTTCCAATTTTGGTGAGCCTGTGTGAATTGTAGCTTCAGTTTCCTGTTCTTTGGTGACGAGTGGCACTCGATGTCTTTCTGCTGCTGTTGTTTTGATATGTTGTGTGTTGTGGAAAAAAATCAGTAGAGTATGAAAAGAAACTGGTTTCTGAGATTTATTTAATTTTATTTTTTTGTGTCCTCTCTGGCACTGTAGTAATCAGAATTATTTTCTAAAGGCCAAGAAAAATGCCCACCAGATTTATTTTCCCAAGTAGACCATTATGGCTTTTGCTATACTGGTCCACTTGATTGTCATATTTTATTCAACCTTCATTATTATTATTATTATTATTGTTGTTGTTGTTATTGTTATTAATTAATTTTTCATTTTGAGTTATTACAATCAGAACAGACAGGACCAGGGGATGGGAAAGAGAAAGAAAGAGAGGTTGGGAAGAGAATTAACAGAAGGAGAGGGAAAGATAAATAGAGAAGAGGGACAGAGAGAGAAAAGATTATGAAAATCTGCGTGATCACCTGCTGAGAGAAAAAGAAGACAACACAGTAGGGAAACCACAGCAACAACCAACATAAGCATCAGTAACAGTAAATAATAAATAGTGAATGTTACTAAGCAGCATACAGTGTGTGTCTGTGAGTACCTGCTTGTACACCTGTGTGTGTGTGTGTGTGAGTGCACTTATGTTCATGTTTTTATAGAGGTTATATTATTCAAAACACAAATTTTCCTCTATGTTATCCATTCAGAGATGCTGCTTCTGCTTTTTCTACCATGATTGTAATGAGTCACTATTTGAGTTAATGTTGCCTTCCTATCAGCTCAGAGTAGTCCCAGTAGACTCAGACAAAAGTCACTTAAATCAACTTTCTTCCCTGTTTTGGTGCTCAGTTTGATCTTCATCACATCTGCATGTCTAAATGCACTGAGTTGTTGCCATGATTAGTTATTTGCATTAATGAGCAGATAAAGGATTGAGTGGCCAATGTGCGTATATATAATGCAATTAAATAAAATGTGTCTCTTAAAGTGGTGCAAGTTTGTTGAAAGCCAGCAAACTGTAACATTCATTTGATTTTACATTAAAAGGTTCAGTAAAAAAGTTGAAATGACCTTAAAACGGTTCATTTAATTCATGTCATGCTCTACATACAAGGATTCTTTGCTGTTCAGCAATGGTTAAACCAGTACAGTAGGTGGCGGTAGCACACCTGTAATCGGCCTTGCAAATAGCCAAATGAAGAAGACGGAAGAGCCATTGGCGCTGGAAAGAAGCGCCGCTGGAAAGTAGTCTGAGAGCAGTGAAGAAGAACCGCAACGGCATTTCATAGTGTAGCTGATACTGATAAGCCTGAATGGATTTAACCGAACAGGTGAGCAGAATCGTTTCATTCAGTTTAGTGTTCAGCAAAACTGCATCTTTTAAGGTTTAGCTGAGGTAGCTGGATTTACATAGATACAGTGAAATCAGTGCAATACTTGCTAACGTCAGTCCTATCAACCCGTGACGAGCAGCTGCGTGATGCCTGATACATTTTTTTTTTTATTATTATTTTCTCCAGGGTAACGTTACAGTTGTAAACTAAAATAAAACTACGATTACAAATACGATTACAGTCGGTGGCGGTGCGTGCCAGTAGCTCGCGGCCCAACTTAGCTGTTAGCTTTTAGTGGACTACCAGAACATTCTAGCAACATCATTCAGTGTAAAACAACTACTGCGCTGCTAAACAAATCAGTACGGTAGTTACTCGGCGTCTCTGTTAGCTGTCTGGAGATGTTACTAGACCCACTCATGTACAGTATCATTAAGCACTTTTACATTTGAATTATATACATACATACATACATACATATTACAATTTATCTGTAAAGGATCTCTCCAGACACGAATAACTGTAATATGTACAGGCTTCTAAGTTGTTTAGATGCCAGATTAATCGCAGACAAATGCATAGTTCCAACATGTGTTGTGAGTTAGGTTAGACTACATTTAAATAAAGTAATATGACTTCGAGAGTGGATTGTGGGAAATGGGTTAGTGACTATATAATTATTGTAGAAGCCACTTTGTTCTTACTATTTATTAAGTTACAATATAAATTTTTATTTAGAAATGAAATGTTAGCTTTTGCACATTTATTTACTTACATAGTTTTGTTTTTGTTTTTTTAATTAAACAAATGTTTGGTAGATGGATTCAAACAGACAGCACTACTCTATTAGTGGATGTGCATGTCTCAGTGATTGTATTGTTCCCCTCATACAGATTACACAGTTGGAGGCAGACTTGCAGGAGCTGGGGTCCCTCTTGGAGAAGGCAGAGAGGAAAAGAGTTCAAGATCTGCTTAAACAGGAGCAGAAAAAGGTGGAGAAGGAGCTCGCAGCTAAACGACAACAAAAAGAACAACAGGCTAGGAAGGAGGCAGACCCATCTGCAGCCACTAAGGCAGCATACACCGTCAAGATTACCAGCTATGGTATGGGGCAGTTATCGAGTAGCACTATCAAACATTACTGAGAAAACCAAGCGGTTAAGATGCGTTCAAGAGCTGGGGAGGGGAAAAAACAGTATTTCAAAATTGTTCACATGTGTATCATCTTTTCTGCAGCATGGGACCAGTCAGATAAGTTTGTCAAAATTTATCTGGCATTGAAAGATGTGCACAAAATATCAGCAGATAATGTGGAGGTCAAATTTACAGAACGGTGAGTTGATAATCAACATAGTGTTCAGTTTGTTTATACATTCCTGTTCCCATATCAGTGCACGTGAATTTGCCCCTTGTCTGTGTTGCAGGTCATTTTCTGTGCTGGTGAAGGATCTAGATGGCAAAAACCACGAAATGACAGTTCTGAACTTGTTGTATCCAATCAATGAACAGGACAGTTACAAAAAGGTAAACAAATCATCTGCTGCTTACTCAGCTTCTTCTCCTCAGTCCAGCGGCCATGAGATGTTTGTATTTCAGAAATCGGTTGCTGGCTTTGGGTCAAAAGTCTTTGTCATCTTAGATGAGTGGGTGT